GTGTACTGTAGTCACATCGCTTCACCCCCTGCACACCCACATTCCCAACGTGCTTTCGCCACCCTCGCAACCAAACCGCCACACACTTTACGTTGTCCTCCCTCCGTTGCCTCCGCCACACCCTCCGTCCTACTCTCGATCCGATCTCTTTGTCGCGTCGCGTGGCCGCCTTGCGTTCCATTTCGCCACAACCTTCGCTTATTTTGTTTCCCGCCACCATCCGAGCATGCTCGGCATACTCCCTCTCCTCTCTCTCCTCCGCGCATGCTGTAATTCGTCCGCAGCCGTCTCCACGGGCCCCCCGCCAAGCACCGCCCCACGTAGCAGAAAGGGGGTCAACGTCAAGCTCGAGAGGGACCACCCGCGGCTGTAACTTCCACCCCTCTTCCACCCACGCACCCACCTGTCACACAGGCGTCACACGCCCGCCCCCTCTGGCGCACCCATCCTCCAGGCACGCACAATCCGCCATCCCCTTTGCTGTGTGTCTAACATACGCTCCCAGTCTCTCTCACCATTCGGCCACGTGTCGAAAATCCCCTCTACTTACACTACACCCCTGTTTACACCCTCCACTGCAGCAAACGCCGCCGCCAGCTCCCATCCTCTCTCGTCCCCGTTGGCGGCCGGGTGGCCGCCGCGGTGTGTCCACCGACCGTCCTGCCGCGCATCGCCCCCACCCGTCCTATGACGTCATTTTTTGACATTTCGCTCACCTGCTCGCTCCGCACCGCCTCCACACCGCCTCCACACCGCCTCCACACCGCTACCCCTTGTTTACAATCGACACTTCTATCGCGCCCCATGACGTCAAGTCTTACTCCACTCGCATCATCCCGTCTTGTCGACCGCGCACTCTTCGTCACCGCTCGCCACGCACCGTTGTGTTCGTCCGATCACCCCACTCCCTGTGTGATGTCGTCATGTCAACGTCTCCCAACTAGGAGCTTGCGCCGCTGTCACCCTTGCTCGACCACCCTTGCTCGACCACCCCTTCGCCCCGCCCCCTGTACAACACTACTCCAACCTATCAACAGCTCCATGGCCTGTCATCCCAGTGTCTACGTTTCCATAACGCTCGAGTTCGCCTGCTCCATGCTGATCGTATAGTATCGTGCAGGTAGGAGGCACTGTCCGCTGTCCCGGAAGGCAATGCACGCCGGTCGCTGTGTGTTGCCTGCGAGAGCCTATCACCCTCGCTGTGCGTCCTGTGCTGCGCTTGGAGCCCAATCCGGGCACTTCTCACGCATCGCTGACCACGCCAACGGGCAATCGCGTAGTGTTCACCGCCCATCACTGGCGGACTGCTCGCATTGTTATGTCACCCATGCAGCGGCCCGCCAGCGAAACCTTCTACCGTGCGCCTTATACGCAACGTGTGCTCGTGCTCCCACGTAAACGGTCCACCGGAACACGTGTACAAAACCGATCGGCGCATGTCCGCATGGCCACGTGGCCACGCACGATGACGGGCGACGAGTACGCGCATTACAGAATTATGCTTTCCTATCATCTGTAAGCCCTTCATTGGCTGTCCACTTTGTGGACGGGCCAGGGTGTGCCCTTCGCCAAGTCAGATGATACCTTTCGCATACCCGTCAACCTTGACGGACGCTGCCCCGTAAACCCTGCTTCCCACGGACCGCTCTCACTTGCTATCCCTCCGCCCACCCCTGCCCTCACCATGGCCACCTCCATCCTCGACCTCCCGGACGACCTCCTGTCCCATGTCCTCCGTTTCGCCACGGAGTCAGCCCGCCGCGACAACCAAGCTCCCCCACCGGCGCCCCTCTCCTCCTTCCGCCTCTCCCTCGTCTCGGCCTCCTTCCGCCGCGCCCTGCTCTCGCACCTCACCTCCATCTCCCTCCACTCTCCACTCGCCCGCCGCCTCGCCGATCGCCAATGGGCTCCCCTGCTCGCATGCCCTTCCCTCCGCCGCCTCGCAGTCCCCCCCGCCGCGGGCCTTGCCGACCACCATCTCTTCGTTTTGTTCGACAAGCTCGCCGCCTCCGGCGTCAATATTAGACACGTACAGCTCTCCCTCGACGCAAGCCTCACCCCAAATGCCTTGCGCGCCCTCGTCGCAAAGTTCGGCCCGCACCTCACCCATCTCGATATTCGCATCCCGGTCCAGCGCCGCCGTTGCCGACACCGTCCCACTAACCCGCATAATGTTTTCCACCAACCTTGGTTGCCAGCGCAGCACCAACATCCCCCCGATCAACCGCACCCCAATTACGACCCCCCGGGCCACAACGTGCACCACCCCGTCGCAAATCTCGACCAGCTTCTGCACCACTCCCCTCATGATCCCCTTGCGCCCCCGCCGCAACCGCAACCGCAACCGCAACCGCAACCGCAGCTGCAACCGCAACTGGATGAGATACCCATGCAAGGCTTTGATCAGCCCGATTTGGATGAGCAGCCAAACCCCGATGCGGATCAGAACCACGTAATGATGGAGGTCGTCGACAACCTCCTTGCTCTCGACGTGCCGAATCTCCAGGAGGCTGTTGCCGACTTGCTTGACGACATGGACGTTGACCAAGCCCCACCTCTGCCGTTCCATTTCACTGCCCTGCCACCTGCCCCGCAACATCCACCAGAACCGCCGCAATACTTTGGCCCTCCTCTGCCGCGGGTCACCGCGTCAAATCCCTTGACCGACGATATTCTTGCACGCTTGTTGGCGAGGGTGCCCAATCTCACCGAATTGCGTATCGACCGCGCGAGACACGTCATGGGGACAGGCATCCTCGCACTGACAAAATGTCCTCAACTCGAAGTCTTGGTATTGGTTGGTTGTTTGGCCATGAAGAATCAGACCCTGTACACCGTGCTGTCATCTTTAGCCAAACTCCGCGTTCTGCACTTGATCGACATGCCCTTAATCGGCGATCCGGTCGTCTCAGCGATTTGCACGGGGCCCTCTATGACCACGCTTAAAGAGCTGCAGTTGACAAAGATTGGGCGACTGACCGATCCAGCCGTGAGGCAACTTGTCAACGCTTGCGACAGCTTGGAATCCGTGCATATCGCAGACTGTCCAAGGATTACTTCAGAGGCGTCGTCCCATCTCAGCTGCTCTCTGCAAATGAAGAAAATTTTCTTCAGGCCCACCCCGCATCGCCCTCTGACAAATCGCACCACCCGCCACTTTTCATGCGCAGCGTCATCCCTGCGGTCGCTTAAGCTCGCGGGATGTAGCAAACTGACTCTCAATGGCATTGTCGCGCTCGGCAACTTGCCTGGGTTGCGACAACTCCATATGCGTGGGCTGCGGCACGTTTCGCAGGATGTCATGCGACAGCTGGGCACTTTTTCAAAGTTGGATGACCTGCTTTTGCAAGGAATGATGTATTTGACGGACCTTGGTGTCAAGGTACTTTGCGGACAACGCGGGCATCGATATTTACATCTGGCGCTGTTGGATGAAACAAACAATCTCACGGACGAAGCGCTGGAGTGCGTCATGACATGGTGTGGGTCCTTGCGTAGCTTGGAGGTACATGGTTGTTTCAAGCCTGGTGCCTTGAATCGCTTGCAGGAATATATCCCCAGGGCATCACTGACAGTTGTGTCTGTATCAAGCGGGCGAGAAGTTGTGGAAGGACAGGGAGGTCTCTGGGACCGCCCGATGATTGACACTGAGTAAATCTCAATGGTTCAATGGGTCGCATAGCACCGTTTGAGCAAAACAACTGAGTGCTGCTCTCAAGTGCCGGCCATTGGGAACTGCAGTAACGCCGTTGAAAGTTAAGGTGATAAATGTTTCCTAACGTAGTCATGGGGACGGAGGAACTGTGCAGTATGGCGCAGGACGCTATATCCTTATCTTATCGCGAAGCGCGATGGATGGTTTTCTTGGCAGATTTCGATCTGGAGTGGCAAGAAAGTCAGAATATTACGGTGTCCACGCGCATGTTCACCACCGTATGTACTATGTGCGTGATTGCTTGCGGTGTCGCCGAAGAGAACATGTCTCTGAAAGGCTAGGAAAGCCATAGGAGAGAGCCTATTGAAGTTTAAATCCACTGACCAAATGTTATATGTATACACTGCAGAATCATATACTTAATTGCAGTCCAGCGCTGGCATGTCTAGGAAGATAAGGGTATGTCAGCAGTTTTTAGTGTGTTAGTTCAGACATCCAGTGGGAGTGAGGTCTTGCAGTCTTTAAAGTTATTGAGATGCCAGGTGCCTTTGTTCATCGCAAACACAACTTGAAGAGTTAAAGAGGGTCCCAATCCTTGCTGGGGGAAGCCCTATATTTACACCCGAACTGGGTGTAGCACTTTCTTATGTTTAAGCATTGCTGTGATATCAGCCTCCATACGATTGCTCCAGGAAGCCAGAGTTTGATTCGCTCCTTTAACGACACAACCATTTGGATCACGCCTGCACTGCCGTGAACAACAATCCCTGCAAGTTGCCATGTATCCAGGGGTTGCAGGCTGCAACCCCTGGATACATGTCGTCCTTGCTGCTTTTGGTGAACAGTCATTCCTACACAGCGACACAGTACCATCCACGGTGCGAAGTAGCTCGCATTTTGAGTCGCCCCGCCACTGAAAGTGCATTCAGCGACATGCGCTCAGCGTAGGAACTGTAGTGCGCTAGGTTTATTTGAAGGCATACAGAATGCCATTGTCTGCGCCCAGTTTAAATTGTCTCTGCTTCGAGCAGCATAAATCGATCAAAATTGATGTCCCGACCTTGTCCTTGTTTACAAAAATGGAAACTGCGAAACATCTTATTACGGAGATCTAAAATTAGCCCCCGCGTATTTCGCCCGACTTCCGAGGTCTTCGTCGATTCGGAGCAATTGGTTGTACTTTGCAAGCCGTTCCGATCTGCATGGGGCTCCAGTCTTAATCTGGCCCGTCTGCAGCCCAACAACCAAATCTACAACGAAAAACAGATATAGGGTGAACAAGAAACACATTTCGATTGTCAGAGGATAAACTTGAGAAAATCAAAAGGACAGAAGGGTAGTAGCATGTGAAGACAGCGCTAAACTTACCCGCAATAAACGCGTCTTCTGTTTCTCCGGAACGATGGGAGACCATTACTCCCCACCCAGCCTTCTGGGCCATATTGCATGCTGCAATAGACTCAGAGATAGAGCCGATCTGGTTGATCTTGAGCAGCAGCCCGTTAACGGACTTCTCCTCAATTGCCCGGGCAATCTTCTTCACATTAGTAACGGTGAGATCATCTCCAACAATCTGAGTACCGGACCCAACAGCCCCGGTCAAAGACGACCACGCAGACCAATCGTCTTCATCGAACGGGTCCTCAATGGTGACCATCGGATAGTCGCGAATGAAGCTCTTGTACATTTCTCCAAGCTCCGATGATGAAAGGCGTGAAGTGGAGGAGGGATTCTTGAAGTCTAAATCGTAGTAGCTACCTTCCTTGCGGAAAAACTCCGAGGCTGCTACGTCCATGCCCAACTTGATCTTTCCGGTGTAGCCTGCCTTGTCAATAGCCGCAACCAAAAGATCAAGCCCTTCGCCGTTGTCCTGAATGTTCGGCGCAAAGCCCCCCTCATCCCCCACAGCTGTGGCATCAAGCCCGTAGCGGTTCTTGATGACACCTTTGAGGGCGGCGTAAACTTCAGCTCCCATTCGCATGGCCTCCCTGAATGAGGAAGCCCCGGTCGGGAGGATCATGAATTCCTGCATGGCCAACTTGTTCCCGGCATGGCTACCGCCGTTGATAACATTCATGACCGGCACTGGAAGAGTGACCGGATCCGAGCTCTTTCCAGCGATTTCGGAGATATGGCGGTACAAAGGCATCCCCTTCGCCGCAGCGCCTGCAATACACGCGGCCATGGACACGCCGAGAATGGCGTTTGCACCGAGCTTGGCTTTGTTCTCCGTGCCGTCTAACTCAAGCATGATGGCATCGAAAGCGGCTTGATCTCTAACATCGGCTCCAATGACAGCCGGCGTAATGATAGAATTGACATTGTCGATAGCGTTATCAACGCCCTTTCCATTGTACCTGGACTTGTCGCCGTCGCGCAATTCGAGTGCCTCGTAAGCGCCGGTGGACGCCCCGGAAGGAACGGCGGCTCTGAACACGCCGGCGTCGGTTTCCAAGTCAACCTCGATGGTGGGGTTACCACGAGAATCGAGAATTTCTCGAGCACGCACGCCCTTCACTTTTGCGGATGTGGCAGTGCTCGCGGGCGAGGGCTGCGCGACGGAGGCTTGCCACGTCGGACGGCGACTGCATGCGCGCGGCTGCGAAACACGCTGGGCTGCAGTCAGCGGGGTGGGTGAGAGAAGGAAGGCATTCATTTTTGTAGGAAAATTGAGTCTTTGATAAGAAGTCCAGATGTGAATCGCTGAGTCGTGCTTGAGCAAGAGCTTAACGGTTAGGGTCGCGGGCGAGGGAGGGATGGCGTCAGCTCGTGGTTAGCTCGAAGGTAAGAGGACGTTGGTGAGCTCAGTGCGCATCGACATGCAGACTTCGGTTGGCTATTGATTCCCTGACGCGATTGGACAGGAGTATCTCACTGGAGCCAATGAAACCCTGTGCAGAATAAATTCAGGGCGCGATGACACGTGTCCAGGATGTGCCCGGGATCATATATTTAGGGAATCGGATCGCCAGGCGCGAGGAAGCCAATTCGCTCTGCCCAGACACTGGAATGACTGGCCGCAAATAAAAAAGTAGCAAGCAAAATATCGCCGCCTCGCAACGAAGTCAGCTCGACGCCTCCAATACTGCCGCACGAATTCTCCCGTCTCAGAACTCTCAGTCTCTCAGGGCGAATTCTCGCAATAGACTGCGCCCAAACCCCCTGTCCCACGCCAACGAAAGACCTTTCTCGCAGCCGCCTCCCACCCAACCACCGTCGCCGCATTGAGTCAACCCAAAACGCACTTAAGTTACCCCGCACTGCCCCGCACTCGACAACCAACAACCGCTCCCCGCATCACCTTCTCAAAGGCGGCGCCAACCGCACGATGCCGGGCGGCACCGAAGTATTCGCCGGTCTAGTCGCGTTTTCGCTCTTCAAGAAGGCCACTGTCTACGGCGTCGCTCGATACTACGGCTTCCCCAAACTCTACCGTAAGCTCGTCCGCTTCAACCTCCGCGTCAACCCAACCTCCGCGCAGAACTCCCGCGTCTTGGACTTGACCAAGCGCTTGATGCGTCTGCCGAATCATTTGTTGGGCGCCAAGGCCGTCCGAGTGTATCGCAAGGCCGCCCCGAAAACGCAGCCAACGGCTCCGGCCACGTCTCCATTGCGACCACAGGTTGATCCAAGGACGCGCATGTAGATATCACCCGCTACTGTTGTACCGCACAGAACAAGAGCATGCTTGGAGTCCACAACGGCTTCTAGACGTTGGTTTGTTGATGCGGTATTGCTTTAGGGTTTTTTTTGTAGGGAGCTCGATTGTACCAAATTTTGTATATTTCTTTTTTTTTGTTTATTCGTCCAACTTCGCTTACCAGCCGAGATTTTAGCTACCCTCATCGATTTGTCGAGGTGGCCTCTCACATTTCTCAACTGCTCCATCGAAAAAAAGCATTCCTCCGCCATCTGCTTGTGCATCGAAACCCGTTTGTCCACAATCGTTCATCTGCTTGTCAGCCTCATCCGCTCTGTTTCTGTGCCTCATACGCGTTCTTCATCTCCGGCACAATGGCATTCGTTGTCCCAATCTCGACGTCTACTTTTACGCAAAGGTTCCGGCCAGCGGTGTCCCATCGTCGACCAGCGGGTCTTACTCGCATGAGTGCAGTCCCCAACGTTCCAGATGTTCTGAAAAAGATTCTCGAACGCAAAGAGACTGAGGTTGCAAATTTGAGGGCCGAGGTCGAAGCAGCCGGTGCAAGTCATCCCGTCGCCAAAGTGCTGTCTAAAAAGGGTACCTTGCCTCGCGGCAAGGCATTCTACTCTGCTTTAAAACTTCCGCCAGGCACGATTACTGTGATCGCCGAGGTCAAACGTCGGAGTCCCAGCAAAGGAAAAATCGGCAATGTTAAGAACCCAGGCTTGTTGTCTCGTGTTTACTACGAGGCGGGTGCGGGCGCGATTTCGGTGCTTACGGATCTGGAGGGCTTTGGAGGCACTCTTGACGACCTGAAGCAAGTGGTTGAAACCCAATCCACGTTCAAGGGCAACTATCCAGAGCCATGCCCCGTTCTGCGCAAGGACTTTACTATCGACGAGATTCAAATCGCGGAGGCCGCCGCCGCGGGGGCAAGTGCAGTCCTGCTCATCGTTGCTGCGCTTGGCAAAGAGAAGACAAAGGAGCTCCTCGACGCTACTCACGCTTTCGGCTTAGATGCTCTTGTGGAGGTACACGATGAAGATGAACTGAAGATTGCGTTGGACGCGGGCGCCGAGATTGTAGGTGTGAATAACCGCGACCTCAGAACCTTTGATGTGTCCCTGGATACCGCTATGAGACTAGCTGAACTAATCCCAGAAGACGTTGTCAAAATTGCGGAGAGTGGGATCGCACAATACATCGATGCATGGAGATTGCGCGACGTAGGGTACAATGCTGTTCTTGTTGGCGAATCACTCATTCGTGCCTATGAAGGCAGTGCATCAGATAACACCAGCTACACACCGAGTTACAATCAAGCCAAGGGCCTCATAATGGCTTTCAAGGCAAAGGGAAGCGTCGAGTTTGGAAGATCAAGCAATTTTTCTTTTTACGGTAAGGGCGAAGCTGCGAAGGAGGTTCTTGGGGAGATGTCCATCTAAAATCGATACAACCTCATGTCCATCACAACTATTGGCGCTTTTATCTAGAAAGGGGCGTATGCTTGAATAAACAACGACTTGAAAGTCTTTCCGAACCATAGGGAAGCTTAATTTTGACATGCTGCCGCCAAGACTCACGCGGAGGAGGAGCTCTGTCCTGTTTTAATCGCGGCTCCAATCAAGTGCGCCATTCGGAGGCACTCTGGGATCTTTTGACCACCCGTTGGTGTGCATTTATCTAGCAAGTCGGCCATATTTTCTGGTGTGGCCAGCGAGCCGTTCTCAACTTGTCTTTGCGAGGGTGGCTGGCAGCGAAATTGAAAGACCCATCCCCGGATTTCATGAATTGGCCCTGCGGCTCGTATGCTATCGGAGCGCTCTTCCTCTTGCGGTAGTTTCGCAATAGCACCGAGCATCTTCCCAATGTTAGGTGGGCTACGCATGACAGCGACGACGGGACGGGAAATAGCTCTTGCAAGGGCGTCAATGTCAATGATGTTAAGGCCACCCATGGACACGCCATCCAAGAAAACAGCATGAATTTGCTCGTGAAACTTGCTTTGGAGAATGGTTTGAGAGAGTCGTAGGCCTGCATTTAAACCGTCCTGCTCGATGCCGCCGAAATACAACATACCCTCAAAGCGGTCGCGGCTGGTGATCACCCCAACTGCATGAACCTCTGACCCAGGTGCGCGAGGTTTGCTTTGGAAAGGAGCATCATCAATCCCCAGAATGCGCGCGGAGATGTTCCGACGACATATATCTGGAATAGACTTGACCATGGAAGAGCTATCTAGATAGCGCACTGCGCTACAATTGCCCGTGTTATTATATCTTGCCGTGACGGATCTGCAGGTTTCCCCCACTCGCGCAAAACAGAAATGATGCTCACGAAGTCTCCGGATGCCATAAATGGTGAGGTTGAGGCAGACAGGATACCAGAAATTTCGATTTATTTTGCTTTGACAACTCTTGTGTTAGCAATTGCACTCTGAGCGCAGTGAAAGCAAAACAGCATGTATATATTTCTAGTCGTCTCAATCGTAACGCGACCAAGGTGAACGAAATGTTAAGGCAGTACGTGCTGTACGACCAGGCAGCTACACCTGCTCCTCGTCAACAACTTGAGGATTGGAAGGCTCAATCAGACCATAGCCTCCATGATTCCTCTTGTACACGAGGGAAATCTCTTTCGTCTCGGCATTCCGAAACAGATACCACGGATGATCGACGTACTCGCAGCATAAGACGGCCTCCTCTACCGTCTGCAGGGGCATAGGAAAAACCTTTCGCTTGACGACGGCATTGACAGCTGGAATCTGCGGCATCGTATCCTGATAGATGTCCTGAAACTGGTCGTCCGCCTCCCCCTCATCCATCTCCGCGGCGTCGTCGGCAGTGCGCGAGATAGAATCCTTTCCCTTCGATTTGGCCTCCTTCCTCTCCTTGTACTTGCGGATGGTACGTGCGATGCGCTCCTCCAGGGCGTCGATGGAGGCGTACATGTCGTCCGTGCGGACCTCTTTGCGGAGAATGGTCTTGCCCGCAAACGCGACGACCTCGGCCTTGTGCCTGAGCGGCACGGACGGGTTGTGCTCGACGGTCAGATGCACGTCCATCTTGGCGATGACGCCCGCGAAGCGCCGCATCACTTTGCCCAGCTTCTCGTTGATGTACGAGCGCAGCGCGTCCGTGAGCGTGATGTTGTTGCCCGTGATGCGCACCGCCGCGCTCTCCTGCGTCTCCTTGGCCGACAGCACCATGACCGCCGGCGCGTGGCGCGCCGCCGCGCGCGCGGGCACGCAGCGCAGCGGCGTGAGCGCTCGGCGATGCGCGCCGGCCAGCGTGAGCGGCGTGGAGGGTGTGAAGGCGAACATGTTTGAGTGTCGTTGCGATTGGGGGAGGCGAGGTGGTAGGGTGATGGCGATGTGGTGGCGATGTGGTGGGGTAGTGGCGAAGTAGAGGGCGTGGGGAGGGCCGTGGGGAATGGAGAGAGTGAATGGAGATGGATATTTGGACCGGCTGCAATTTGATTGGGCGTTTGAGGGAAGATGCGAATCGAGGCTATTTGAAAACAAATTGAAACATGCCGGGCAAGATAGGAGATATCTGAGACCCGATCTGCGTGTACTGTAGAGTGCAGATTTCGCAGATTACTTACAAAACTCAATCCTACCACGTGTACCTCGTGTCAGATCCGCCACATCAGCCACGTGGCGTATCTAGCGACTCGCAGCAACCACATAACCACATCTTCTTCCCGCTCACCCTGCTCGCCCTCCCAATTCCCTCTCTCTCCATCCACAGCATCGCCTCCGCAAACCCCCGTCCCATGCCACCCCGAAGCCCGCGCGGCCGCGAGCGCGCGCGCCGTCCCCGGCGTCCTTCCCGGTCCCGTTCGTACTCCCCATCCTCTTCGGACGTCTCGCTGTTCACCTACTCTCTCTCCTCGTCGCCGTCGCCGCCGCGCCGCCGTCGCCCGCGCGCCTACCGCTCGCCGACCCCTTCCCCCCCGCCGCCCCGCCGCCGCGAGCGCCCACGCCCGACCCGTCAATACAGCGACTAGGAGCGCGACGACCGCCGCCGCTCC